TTATAAAATTATATATTTATTTTTTTAAATAATAAAATAAAATAAAGATAAGATACTACAATTTCAAAACTAATTACATATATCTATTTATTTAATAATTCATAATAATTATAAATTTATAACATATCATGATATTATAATTATAATATTTCTTATTATTTTAAACCATGATGTGTGAGAGTAAGGAAAGGTAAATAAATCGTAATATAAACATGACCTACCTTTAACTCTAATGGTTATAATTTATTAATAATTAATAAATAATTGTTAATAATTTTTAAAAATAAGTTAAATACTAATTTTGGTCCCTCAACTTTTTTTTTTACATTTTTTTGATCCCTTAACTATGAAAATGCACTTTTTTAGTGTTTTGTCAGTTATCCAATTAAGTTTATCTAAATCTGCATATTTTTAATCCTTTAACTTAAATTTGTGAGATGAAAAATGTGCATGTATTAAAAGTTGAGAGATTAAAAATGTGTAAATTTAGATAGATTTAATGGATTAACTGACGAAATGACTAAAAAAATATATTTTTTATAGTTAAAAGACCAAAAAAATAAAAAAAATTGACAAATGAAAATTATGTAAAATTTTAAAGTTAAGGGACTAAAATTGACATTTAACCTTTTAAAAAAAGTATATGTTAATATTGAGATGAATATTTAAAATGTCTCGAGGGATTAATATCAAGAATTCAAAGGTTGAAGAAACCATTAAAAAAAAAAACAGAAAAAACAAAAACAAAAAGACTCACCGAAAAACAGGAGGGCCAACAACGCAGCACGTGCTGGAGTCACCAGCTACTATAACCCTGAATTCCCATACTACCCATACCCAACTCCCAAAATTTCAGATAACAAGACGCTAACGCAAATACCGCTCCGTCTCCGTTTGCTCCTACTTTGTTTCATCGTCCTTTTTTCTTCCTCTCCCCCAATTAATCTGAAGTTCATCCTCTCTCAAAATCATTGAACTCGAAACGCCGCCGTCTTAGTCAACCGGAGTTCATTGTCACCGGAAAAAGATAGGATCCTATCGCAATTGGATCTCCTGGTTCGGTCCTGACCTGGTATGTTTTAGTATTTGTTTTCGAAATTTTATTCTGTTTTACTCTAAACTGCTTGGGAATTGATTGAATTACTTTCTTTGATTTTTGTTGTAAATTTGTGTTTTTTTTCTTTTTTGGTTGTTAATTGAATGTTATACGATTGTTAATGTAGATATGGAACGAACAAGTTGGCTAATTCTGGTGATTTTTTCATGTCTGCTCGCGTTTTCTTCTGGGAGAGGTAATAATTTTAGTCGGGTCCTGGCAATTATGAATTTTTTTTTTCTTTGAAGATAAGAATGTCTCGTTAAATTCGGTTTGGTAAAATACTTTGTTCATTCTAAGATCAAATTATGGAATAGGGTGCCTGATGATGGATAAATTTACGTTTTTGAATACCCATATGTTCTTTAATAAAACCCAGTTGTCTCCATGTCTCTCTTTTTGTGGTGGTCCAATAATTAGATTATGCAAGTGGTTATTTTTCATCATTTATTTGCAATTTGATGTACTGGGTAATCTTAGTTTTGTGAAAATTCATTCCACTTCATGTTTTTGTTGTTCTTTTAATGGTTTTTGTTGGGGAAGTGCGGCTCCACGGGTGATTTTATGGTATGAGATTTTAAAATACACTTTTAAGGATGAATTGTTTCCTTGGTACAGAACTGAAGGTCAGGCAGGAGGATAAGCTTGCTGCCTATAATCACACTCTTGCCACTATTTTGGTGGAGTATGCTTCTGCAGTAAGATTTTTTTCCTTAATGAATTTAAATTGTAGTGTGTATACTTCATGTCATGTGTGTAGAGTTTCTTTAACTGAAAAGAATACACGAATTTTCAATTTATTGCTATTCTTCAGAAACTGAATTGGATTATCATGATGCTCCATCCATTTCATTCTAGTTTTCTGCAAAGCTTTCAGCCCCAGTAAACATTGTTGAGGGATTCTATATCAGTAATTAGAGACTCAGGCAAATTCTGTGACTGCAGGTTTACATGTCAGATTTGACTGAATTGTTTACTTGGACATGCCCAAGATGTGATGGTTTGACCAAGGTACTTATTTTCATACCATCTTCTTTATTCTAAGTTCAAGTAGTTGTTTGGTCTAACCAGTCGTTTTAATTTTCTTTTGAATGGTAACAGGGATTTGAGGTTATAGATCTCGTTGTTGATATACAACATTGCTTACAGGTTTGTTTCCCATAGTATGGTTTCCATATTTAACCTTACAGATAACTGAAAAAAAGGAATCACGTTCATGCAATGTGCAATTCAACCCTCCAATTTCAAATTAGTTCAATGTGGCTATCCAATATTATTAGTTTGTAGACTGAAATGAAATGAATTGCATTGAAGTTCAAGGCTAAGTCGCATATTGCTCTCTTTTTTTTTTGGGTGAAATATCCTTAAATAGCCATGTTCCTTTAAGATGTTTGAATATTTAGTTTATAACTATCACCACATTGGCTATCATTCTAGGCATTTGTTGGAGTGGCAAAGGATCTCAATGCCGTTGTTATTGCCTTTAGAGGAACCCAGGAACACAGGTACCAGTACCTCATTGCTTCATATTTTTGCAACTTCTATTTGAAAATATTTTGAAACTAAATTTTTTGAATTAAGAGCTAAAGGAAACTATTCTGATTAGTGACATGCTCCAACATGGCTGTTCGTGGTATAGATAGACCAAATGATAACAAAATATCCAGAACTAAAGAATGTTTTTTCAAAACATAAATCTTATTATTCTTTACTTGATTTTCTATTAATTAATTATTTCTGTGTACACAGCATACAGAACTGGATTGAGGACTTGTTTTGGAAACAACTTGATTTAAATTACCCTGGCATGCCTGATGCAATGGTGCACCTAGCAGAGGATTTCTATTAATTGTTTATGTTGAAGTCAGAACCATCAACCTTTAATCCTTTTGCTCTCTTTCAGGTGCACAATGGGTTTTATTATGCCTACCACAATACAACTATGCGTCCTGCAATTCTAAATGCTGTTAAAAGAGCAAATGAATTTTATGGAGACCTAGATGTAATAGTGACAGGGCATTCAATGGGAGGAGCTATGGCTTCCTTTTGTGGGCTTGACCTAAAGGTAATCTTTTCTTTCTTGAATCTTGATATAACTGGTGCCCTTTACCTTGTTACCTACTTATTGAAATTCTTCATGATTGCTGAAGGAATTTGAATTGCATGAATGCTTTTTTCAAAATTTTATTTTATTTATTTATTTTTTCTTAGTTGAATTCTGGAAACTATTGTTTACTCTGTGAGAGCTGTATTGAAAATTTATCATTTTTCTATCAGGTTAACCATGAAACCAAGAATGTCCAGGTTATTACATTTGGGCAACCTCGAATAGGGAATGCAGCATTCGCATCTTATTACAGCAAACTTGTTCCAAATACAATTCGGGTCACAAATGAACATGATGTTGTGCCTCATTTGCCACCATACTACTCTTACTTTCCGCAAAAGACATACCATCACTTCCCCAGAGAGGTAAATTTTTTACTTCTAACCCTGATTGTGTAACATACCATCAACTGGATTCTCAATACTCTGTTCCACCAGTTGCGTTGAGTCTCTAATTATTAAGACTGATAGGGTATGTATTGGGTGACATGAACGCTTCAAAATGTGTACTAACATTTATCTGATGTGGAGTGAATGTAAGATGAAACGTGCTTGCTTGAATAGAGGAGGGTGCTAACATGTCCCCTACTTTACTATAAGATTTCTTTTTTACTTTAACTTCCCACATTACTTATGTCATTTTCTTCCTTGCCCGGATGTGACAAATTCATTGAGGCATCAGGCATGTGGTAATATATACATTTCATCTTTTGCTTATCTCTTGAGGAAAATCTTGTTTCCTGTTCTTTAGCAATGTTTCTCAGTCTTTGTACCTTAAGATTATGCAGTTGCATAACATATGTGAGCAACCCATCCTTGTAACCAGGTCCATTTTAGACATTTTATTTATGAGATGCTCTACACAGGATCATCTTGAATATCTTTTTGAGAAGGCTGTCTTCTCGAAGCTTTTTCAATTTTTGTTAAATTGTGGAAATCATTGAGTGCGTTTTTCTTATTTGTAGGTATGGCTGTATAATATTGGATTGGGAAGTCAAATGTATGAAGTGGAGAAGGTCTGTGATGGTTCTGGTGAAGACCCAACTTGTAGCAGGTAAGCCTACCCTTCTATGTCATTTCTTAAAACGGCATTTTACTTGTAATTTAAACTAAAACCGAAGCTTGGGCAACTTAAATATTTATTTATTTAATTAAATCTGCTGCAGGTCAGTGACAGGGAACAGCATTTCTGACCATTTAGTGTATTATGGAGTTGAATTAATGTGTGAGGCATGGAGATCATGCAAAATTGTCCATGATCCTGGTCTAGTGGAGTATAGCAAAACAGATCTCCAAGGAAATTTTATTTTGTCTAGAGATCCAGCCGCCCCAATTCTGAAGATGAAAACACAGTCCAATGGTGGGGGGAATCACATTTAGAGCTTAAGTTGATTAACATGTGATTTCTCCTGCATTGTTGCTGGGAGGCCAAGGAGTTTCAGTTAAGTTCTATCTCATTCTTCAAATTGGGGCATTTTCGGATGGTATGTCTAAAGAATGGTGTTGGTGTTGCAGTGGGTCTGGGTTGGAAGGAAATTGTATATATATTGTTATTGAGTTGTACATCCTCAGACAAACAAATACTAGCCTTGTGTGATGCGAGCAAAGATTATTTCTGTTGTACCATTCAAAAACTTCATGTTTCAAATCTCTCAAGAAAAGGAGAAAAAAAAAAGGTTCAAAATCTTGATGCCATATACATTCTGTTTTTGCTATGTGCTACAAAAATATCACTCCTGCCTCTCTGAGTTTTATTACCGATTTATTCAGTTTGAATAGGGATGTTATTTTTTAGTTGGTTGGTCAAGTTCATGTCAATTGTCAGCGCAACTCAATTCATGATTTGGTTGTCCCAAGACGTGGCAAAAATAACCAGAATTCCTATATGGACCAAACTCCATAGGCCTTTGCGGGCATGCATCTTTGAATGAAGAAAATTGAACCAGAGTTGGAGGTTATGTTGTATCTTCTCTTTCTCTTTTTTCATTTTCATGCTTTCTATGTTCATTTCCTGATGATATTGGGGATGAAACTAATAACAAGGAATATTTTTCCTCCTGAATTTCAGCCCAAAATTCTAGTTAATGTTCCCCCATTTAATTTCTCAAATAAAATTGTTACTGAAAATGCAATGGTCACAATGATAATGTGATGTTAAAATACAATAGCACATGTATTCCCTTAAATATAAATCATCAGTCATATAATGACATTACAATGCCAGAAAAACCATTGAATCATCAAGCAGATCAGTAAATAGCAAAAGCCATGTTATACCATGAGACAAACACATTGTACTTTCTTTTAACGCTCCCTCTTAAATTTCCCAACCCTTATGTTCAGGTTTTAAGAGAAGCATCACAATTTCAGTACATAAAATCGAAATATATAACAATACAGCATTATGAACAGACTTCAGATGCCGAACAGGCGCCAGGGTTGTCTTCAATTTCTATCTTCAGGCCGTATTCAATTCCTCTGTTGCCGAGCCAGCAGGTTCCTCCTCCTGTATAAACAGAAAATCCATCAGTGCTTATTTTCTTACAGCAATTCAATTCAGTTTTCATGAGATTAAACTTGTGTTTATGCACCCAAAACACCCTAAATCATGAATGAAGAAATAAATTTGAACGTTGAGATACCTTATTCTCATTCAAATCCTGTACTCCTGCTTGGGTTTCTGAAACTTCTCTTTCTGTTTCCTTGACCAAGTTTTCTTCCTTCAAACTCGCAGGCTCTGCTGCTTCCTTGGCTTGTACTGTTTCTGTTTCCTCCACCAGGTTACCTTCCTCAACATTTACTGGTTTTTCTGCTTCAATGGGTGCCTGTGGCACTGCTTCCTCCACCAGGTTATTTTCCTCAACATTTACTGGTTTTTCTGCTTCAATGGGTTCCTGTGGCACTGCTTCCTCCACCAGGTTATCTTCCTCAACATTTACTGGTTTTTCTGCTTCAATGGATTCCAGTGGCACTGCTTCCTCCACCAGGTTATCTTCCTCAACATTTATTGGTTTGTTATCTTTCTCAACGTTTACTGGTTTTTCTGCTTCAATGGATTCCAGTGCCACTGCTTCCTCAACCAGGCTATCTTCTTCAACATTTACTGGTTTGTTATCTTCCTCAACATTTACTGGTCTTTCTGCTTCAATGGATTCCAGTGCTACTGCTTCCTCGACCAAGTTATCTTCCTTCACAACTGTCGGCTCTTCTGCTTCAACAGCTTTTACCGCTCCTGTTTCCTCGACCAAGGCATCTTCTTTCACATTTGCAGCCTCCCCTGCTTCAGTGGGTTTCTCCGTTTCTGTTTCCTTCAAACTTACAGGCTCCTCTGCTTCAATGCTTTTCACTGGTTCTGTTTCCTTGGCCTTCTCTTCCTTCAAAGGCTCCCCTGCTTCTTTTTCCTTCACCAAGATTTCTTCTTTTATTTCTTGATCAATCTTTTTCTCATCCGGAGTTTCTTTTTCTTTCGCTTTCTCACTAACCAAACACTCATTCCCCATTCCAGACTTTCCCTCTAAAGCAATACCCTCAACAGCTTTCTCATCTTTTTTCGAACCAATGCTTTGCTCTTTCTCCTGAACAACATTGCCCTCTTCATCTCCTTCCTTCAATTCTTTCCTATCTGCCGGAGCCTCAATCTTGACATCCTCTGTTTTTGTTTCTGCAGTTTCAACCCCACCTGCATTCTTGACAACATCTTTCTGTTGCGTCAATGTGCTTGTGTTGCTATCCTCCTTTCTTGTTTCTGCACTTTTAACCACTCCTTCACCGGAGACATTCTTGATATCCTCACCTTTACTTTGGTCAGGCGAGGTTGTTCTGGCCTTTTTTGTGCTTGTTTCTTGGGAGGTTTCCCGGCTTCTGCTCCACCTAGATGCAATACTTGATTTCTTCCGGACAATGGCGCTTCCATTGGCGACTTGGTGCTTGGATTCACCACAACCCATGTTTGCAATTTTTCTGAATCTTGACAAGGCACAGAGGAAGGAGAGGCACTCCTCTTTTGTATTAGGTTGTGTTGTTCTTGTTTGGGTTGAAGGTTGGAGGGTTTGGTTCTCTGGTTTTCATTGTAACTGACCGTTTTTTCTGTTGGGTTTTGGAGGG